CAAAAAACTCGGCCTTCCAAAGGCTCCATGTAGCTGCTTGAAATTAAATGCTTCTGTAAATAAATGTGTATCATCCAGAATACAGACTCTTTCACGCTAGCAACAGAATCTAACCATTTAAGTATAACACCAAAATAAAATAAAATATTATCTAAGCAAGATCAACAGAAAACAATTCTTTGAGTGCATCTCTATCATTCACATTGCAGATATTGCAGCTTAAAATTTAATTTGATACTGTGAGAAATCTTAAACCGGTAAATAAGACATTCAAGTTGACTATGTCCACATTTGTATATTTAAGAACCAAGGGTAAACATCGCTTCAGAAGACAGTCCAAACTCCAAAATTCATTCCCGAACTTTGACTAAGTCAGTCACAAGATGCACTATCCTGTTCATCACCAAAGAGGTTAAGGTTTAAGTCAGAAGCATAGTTATTTTATTTAAATAATGGAAGACAGTGCATAATATACACCAATAATGTTATTTCATTTAGGGAAAAAAAAATCACAAATTAAAAAAAAGTTTATTATATTTGCTTCTGTAACTTTTTCTGCTAAATGAGAAAATCTAAGGGTGATATTACGAACATAGCCTTTATGTTGTTTGAAATATAAATTACAGTTCTAACCCCGTATTACTTGGAGAAAAAATCTCAGGTAACCAGAGGTTTGGCATGTTTATTTTGAGAAGAGTTATTTTGGCTTTTTATAACTGAAAGAAACCACAGTTCTCTGGTTTGCATAACAACAGTGTACCTGTTGGATGCTTTTTAGCTGCAGTTCTAGAAATAAAAAAATTCTGAAACACTAATTTTATCTCACAGCTCTTTGATTTATTGCAATCTGTTCTTACGAGTGCTGATCCAGCGTTCAAATTCACAGAAACTGTCAGGTTGCCCAAATAAGAACACAACTGGATGCTAAAGAGATACAGTCATACAGAAAACTAGATATATGATACAGGCAGCAGGATTATTCATTGACATTATTAACACACAAAAAGAATTTATTGAATTGGATGCCTGAAACACAAAGTGGGTCAATACTTCACTCAGACAGAAACGAGTGGGTGCTGATTCTGAATATTCTGTCCCAGCCAATTTTAGGCATACACCTCCTGTTCACATTTTAGAAAGATGGAAAAAAAAACCCAACAGTGAAGCTTCATCACAGAAATAATTCATATTTAGAATTCATGTTACCTTCCAAGTTAATGTGAAAAAAAAAAAGAATCTTAAAAAAATCAGGTAGTGCTATGCTAAGTGTTACCACAAAAATCCCAGAAAAGCTGCATTTCTAAAGGGCATTCCTGAAATCCAAAATTGTCTAACCACAGTATTCTCAGATACCAATAATCTCTTACAGAACGATGTCTAAGATTTCAAAAGCAAATGGAAAAAAATCCTCCCCACAACACACAAAATCTACGCAGAACAGAATAAGGCAGCTCATGAAACCTGACAGAATTTAAGAGGTTAACTTCAGACCTCACTGTCAGCACTAACAATACCTGCATGCCCTGGGGCATTTAGGAGTTGACTTATAGGTTCACGGGAATTTTACCTGCAAAAACCTTAGACACCTGAAAGATGAAATGGGAGAGATGTAAGAGTTTTGAAAAGCCATGACTTAGAGACCTACATTCAACAGGGGAAAATGAGGCTGAAGCATCAAAGTTGTTTGTAATCTGTTTTAAATCTCAAAATTGACAGTCTTAGATATACACACTAATTCCCACCCACCTTCCTTCCCACCTCTAACCCATAAACTAGAATTTAACTAGTAAAAATGTTTGGAATCAAGTGAATCTGTGTGTTACCGTTCATAGCTAAGTGGATAGGACTTCCTACTATCTAACAGGTACTGGTAGTCAGTAGAAGACCAATGCCTGCTGAGTTAGCTGAAGCACATTAATTCTTTCTCCAGGAGGTTATTCCTCGCTTTTCTTTATAGAGATGGAAACAACTTTTTAAGCAAGGGAGGGCCTAAGGTCTTTCTGCATCTCATGTGTCAGCACTTCTCTTGAACTCTTTTACACAAATTAGAAGCATAATTCAAGTGCCACACCATACAAAACTTAAGCAAAGACACTCTTAAGTAGATACTGCTGGTCAGTGAAGTACAAAAAGCCCTAGCTACAGTAACAGAGGGCCACAAATACAGGACAGAAAGGAGAAAACAGACACTACCAGGATAACTGCAAGCAACTGGAACAGAATGACCAACTAGCAACGAGCAGCAACTACTGTTACTGACTGTAATGCAGGGAAATTTTACTTTATCTTCAATAAACCGCCACCTGTTCCATCTGTCAGTTAACTGCACCTGTGCAATTGTCTTAAATCCATGGTGTAAAGTCCTCCTGATCACTGACCCTTCATTATGCAAGTATCAAATATGATCTATTTATGCATTACCATCTCTGTCTTCATCTCAGAAAGCCTGCAGCTTCACTATCCACATTCTTCTTTCCTGTGACTGCCTCCAATTATCCAATATTATTTTTTGCACTCCTTAAAATGTTGACTTGAGGCATATATTGAGCAATTACAGTCACAACCTGCTCAGCACTGCAGAAAACTGAATCCAAGTTTGCTGTGTTCTGACTTGGTATTAGAAAATTAGTACTCACTGAAAAAAAAGATAACTGTCATCCATGACAAGTGATGATTAATTAGCATTAAAAGTAGAAGTGGTATAAGAAAACGCTAGTTGTTCCTGAATGAAAGACGAAGCACAGGTCTCTTTTTTCAATGTGTCAGAACTTTCAGACACATGAAAAACTGATGTGTTAGTGAATATATCTGACTGCGAACACATGGTATTCTTGAAACACCACAATGAATATATAATAGGAATACTAGTATAGAGTACAAGCTTCATCCTATGCATAGTCTTTGATCAATTCCCATCAACTTCAAATACATGCCTTCCTCTTACTAAGATCAAGCACAGGTTGTATATCTACAATAAACTGTTAGAGATCAAAAAGTACATCACCAAAATGAAATATGTAAGTAGATTTTGAACAGCTAATCAGGAAGTGGAGGAGACAACAGTTACGATCCTCTTCCTCCCACTGTTATGGATTAAAATAACTGTAAACAGCTATAGGAATGCTACACCCCATATCTTGAAACCACTCACTAGTATTCAGGTGTAAGTGGATTTCTCACAAAAAAAAAATCTTCCTGGTATACAGGAGTATACTAACAAGCTGTAGACAGTTTGCAAGGTTATGCAAAGAGCCTTTCACAGATTCTTTTTATCAAAATGAAATTCCTACATTATAGTGATTAGTGAAATAAGTAGTGACACATGAAGAAGTTGTATTTGTTACAGCATTTCATCTTTCCCTCCACCATTGACAACTAAAGCATCCCACAAGAATCTAAACAGCAGAGACGAGCATCTTACACTACTGAGAAACTAGGTTAAAACACCAGGACTCAGAACAGTGATGTCAAGTATTTCGTTTGAATTTTAATGTGCAAACCAACAGGTTAAGGAAATTTTGAAGAAAATGACAGCTGTTAAGGGCCTTAACTCCTCAATAATCCCAAAGCACTTAATTCCCATTGAGATATACAAGAGTCAGTTACATATTGTCATGGTTTCACCCCAGCTGGCAGCCAAGCACCTAGCAATTCTGCTGATTGGACAGTCTTTTATTCAGAAACTGAACCACGCAAATATTTCAGTTTTTATTAATTACTTAACTAGAAAAATCATCTGCTGTTCCCTAGTACTCAGTTACTGTTCCATCAAATGGAGTTTTATTTATTGCAAAATAAAAATACCTAACACCTCTGACACTGAGCCAACATAGTCTGTTTCAACAGCCTCAGAGCACAGAAAATACAAAAACATTAATGAACAGTTTTCTAACAAAATTTGAACCTTTTTTATGGGCGTTGGCAAATGTTACCCAAAATATACACTGAAGACGAGGCATCCACCACACGAGAATAAAAGAGATTTCATATATAGTAAGCTTGATTGAGAACAAGTTAAATACTGAAAAAGGGAGACTTGTGCCTTGGGATAATACTGCCACAGTATAATATATGTGCATTTAGATGTGAAAACTGCATGAAAAACAGGATGATAAAATGGTAATAACTGCGATTGCTCTAGTACCCTTTCAAATTCTAAGTATTCACAGCTTATGCACTGAAATAGTAAAATATGCACATCTGTGCATCTACAAATCCAAGCAAGTGCATAGTTGTAAGAAAACAGAAAATCTATAGCAAAAATACGGTTCCCAAGTGTACGACTGCAGATAATAATTTCAGAAAACACCATCGACATGGACTTTTCGCAGGACAGAGTTCTTCCCGAGTGCCCGAGTGGGTTTCCCGGTGGGGAAGCATCCACCTCTCCCTCATTGCTAGCCGGTCAGGGAGGGGCAGCGCCTCGGGGCTCGCCCAGTCCCCGCTGCTCAGCGCTGCCGCCCTGGAGACGGGGGGTTTGGAAGCGCCTCCTCCCCCCGGCCGCGCGGGGCGGGTGCGGGATACGCCGCTCCCCGCGGCCGGACGGCGGGGCCTGGCCGCTGTCCCGCACCGCGGGGCTCCGCGGCCGCCGAGGCGAGGCCAGGCGGACAGCGCCGATGGGGCGTCCCTGGGGACTGGGGCCGCGGGTGGGAGGGCGAAGGGGCACCTGTTTCAGGATCCGCGCGGGATCGTGTGGAGCAGAGGGCGGCGCGTCCGTGGCGGGGCGAAGAAGCGGGGCACATCCGCGGGATAGCCGGGAAGAGAGGGCTGCGCGATACTCCGGCATTCGGAGGGGCGTGGAAGAGGGACACGAGGGCAAACGCGTGGTGCGGGGCGGCAGTGCACGGCAAGGGGTGCCGGCACTGCCGAAGCAGCGCCTCAAACTCATCCTCGCCCCTGCGTTCACCTGGGCTGCGCGGGGAGCCGCGGCCACTGCGGGGACTCCCCCGCCCGCACCGCTGCCCGCCGGGGAGGAGCCGGCCGGCAAGAGCGCACCTTACCTCGAAGAGGGGACCGATCTTATTCTTCTCCAGGTAGGCTTGGATCCTGGTCTGCTGGTGAGACGCCATGAAGAGCTCCGGAGGCGGGGGCTCGAGCTCCTCTTCCCCGGCGGCGGCTGCAGTCCCTCCGGCTGCTGGCAGCTCTCTCCCCCGCCGCCCAAGGGCTGCCACAGCGGGAGCGGGCGGAGGCGCTGCGAAAGTCCCCGGGACGGAGCTAACTCAGGTAACCGGGGGCGGGGGGGAGCCGGGTGCCAGTCGCCCGCTTAGCTAGGCGCGGAGCTAGCTGCTCTCAAGGAGCGGCGGGCGGGCGCTGCCTGGAGCAGAGCATGGTGCAGGGAGGAGAGGCGCTGCAAAGGCGGCCCCCAAGCCCGCGCCGCTCCGCGCTGCGTGTGTCTGTCAGCCCGTCTCTGTCTGTGTATCTTTGCAAGGCAGCGCCTTGGTTACGGGAGCGGCCGCGGCTGGCGCTGCTGCCCTCGCCACAGCGCCGCTCCTGGAGCCAAGAGCCGGGGGCTCCCGTCAGCTCCGCGGCCGCCGGCGCCCGTTGACGCCCGGGCTCGGCGCACAAAAGGCGGGAGCGAGGGAAGTGGGAGGAGAGCGGGCGGGAGGCGGGAGCTGCTCTGCCTCCTCTCCGCCGCCGCTCCCCTGCCCTCCCGGGGATGGGCTTACCTCCCGGCGGGGCCGCGTTCCCCCGCTCCGCGGGCGCTGCCTGCGCGCCGGCGTTTTGCGGGGACCCCACCTGGCTCCGATCCCCGGTCGGGCGTGAGCGCCGCGGGCCGCCCGGCATGAGCGACCTGAGCGGCACACGAAAACTTCAGCTGGTGGAGGGTCGCGGAGAAGTGGAACAACTGGTAGCAGGGAATGGGGTTGCAGGGACTACAGCCAGCACTTTTCCTTAATTTTTGTTTAGATTATTTTTAAATCTTAAAAGGCTGCCATTCTTGTGATGCCAGTGAAATTCCCAGTTAGCGACAATGGGCAACTTAATGCAATAATTGGAGTAGCTATGCAGGTATATGTTGGTCTCAGGTTGTGTTGAGTTCCTGCAGGCATTCAAGGGGTTTTGGCCAAAACTCTATGGAGCAAATGAGAAATTTTCAACTGGCTTCAGGGAGTAGTGAGTTAATGAGTACATCAAAGAAGCAGTATTTATTCTTTCTCCACTTCAAATAATTAGTATCCCACCATTTCTAGAAGCAGGGTCCTAACCAGCTTTCTTTTTTTCTTTTTCTCTCTATTTAGAGAAGAACAAAGAAATCATACTTCTTGGGATCTGACACTTCCGTTCGTCTTCAATAACTAATTCTGCTGTACCAGCATTCACCTGTTTTGTGAAAAAAGATACACCTTATTTTGTCATAAGGATTTTTTTAAAGACATAAAACAGCTTTGAAGAATATTGGGAACGTTCAACTCATCTGCTGAATCAGTCTGCCTGCTCCCAGTCAAGCAATGCTCTGCAAATGCAAGAGTACAAGCCTCTCCTGATTCAGAAACTGCTAAAGAAAAGGGTGAATTTCATCGGAAGTTAAAAGATCATGAGTTCCGCTCCCTTTGCCATTGACTGTTATTTGACTTCAAAGTCCTCCTTGCTGACCTAAACCTCATGCCTCTACCTAGAAGGAGGTCAGACGTAAGTGTTTTATAAAGACAGTTTGCAGCACACCCTGTAGAGTAAGCAATAGCTTGCAGAATTCTTTAATGTTTTTGCTAGAACTTGCTCATCCCAGTCTTGGTGAGGCAAAATGTTTGTTTCCATAGTAGTCACTTAAAAATGGTACTTTTTTTTTGTTTTAAATTTGGATTTGTTATATGCTGGTAATCTTCTAAAATTCCTATTAGCTCAGAGTTTTAGGATATCATCATCAGCAAAGTACTGCTGCTTTGCCTCTTGCCACTTAAATAATACGATGCTAAGCTAGTTTAATCAGCCTAATGAGGATCATACAATCATAAGTGTAATTGCCAGTGATGTAGATTCTCTGTAGTGGCTCAAATGATTCCCATCAGATGAAGATGTTTGTAAAATTTCACAAATCTCACCAGAATCTCAACTGCTCCAATAGATAAAAGTCTCCCACTTTGCAAAATTATGCTTCCCTCCTATGATCCAAAACTGAGAATATATATTTCTATAGACCTACACAGCCTGACTTCTGAAAGCAGCATCACATGCAGACTTGCTGGGACCTGACCACACCAGGACCTGCAAACTGTCACTGCTCTGTGTAGACCAGGAAGAGGACCAGAGAAAAGAAAACCCACTATCATCAACATGAATAGAAAAGAGAACTTATTAAAGGAGGTTTTAAAGATAGCATAACTGTCTATGATTGCATATCGTACACTTAGCTAGCTCCTAATCTCTCACTGTTAAAACCTCAGAGTCTGGGGTTTTGTTGTGGGTGTGTGGTTTTTTTATTCTCCCACTGAATCATAGAATGGTTGAGGTTGGAAGGGATTGGTCCCAGCCCCCTTTTACAGCAAGGTCACCTAGAGCTTGGTTGCCAAGCACTATTTCCAGATGGCTTTTGAGTATCTACCAAGGATGCTGGATTTTTCTGGTACCTGTAGTCGGTTTTGCTTACTGTTTCCCTAGATCATCTTTTCCATCTCTTAGTTCTCATCCAGACATATAATCTAGACTTTCCAGCAGGCTTGGGAGACACACTGTCAGTCCTAGTGTTGCTGGGAAACCTTCCAAGGCCAAATGCTGAATTAGCTTTTTTAGCAGACACATTTTGTAATCTCCAGAGTTCCTGTAACTCTTAACTGACAGGTTATACTTTGGTATGGATTAGGCACCTTAGGGAGACATCAACACAGACAGTTCCTTACCTAGACCTTCCTAGTTGAAGGTCTCCAGCAGCTCCCTAAGAGTAAAGCTCTCCGGGTGCTGAAGTATGGGAGTACAAGTGTCTCCTGCAGAGAACGTAGGCTGAATGACATGGTGTAATAGGAAAAGGAACTTCACTGTTAGCATTTTTTTCTCTTTTTCTCAAGAAAGCACAACAACTGTTGCTAGATTTAAGACAAGCCACACTAAGATAGCACTCAATAAATGCCTGTGATTTGCAAATAAGCACAGAGAGCTGGGTATGTCCCTTCTGTCCTCTCAGTTGTTAGGAGAAGAACATTTCAAAAATTTAATTAAAGTATTCTGAGTTTTTAAAATTGGTATTAATACAATCTTTTAAAATTGACTTTCATCTTAATATCAAAGCAAAAAATCTCTTGGGTTGAATTTAGTGTTTTGGACATGACTGAATTTGTATTACTTGCAGCAGTCTTTTTGTATGAGGAACAGAACACTAAATTACTTTACAACCTCAGTAATAAAATATAGTCTCTTTATTGTGCTTGGCTATGTACCTTGTTTCATTTCATAGATATTTTTCTTTAAAAAACAGTATACAGCGTTCACATCTACATAACACTCAGCACTGAACTACAAGAACACAAATGACTGCAAGAATTTGAACACATGCATCAAAAACTGAAAAGTGTCCCAACTTAAAAATATATTCACCACATAAAGTAAAAACCATGAGATTCCCAAAAAGCAAGGAGAAAGAGAAAAAAAGAATAGAGCTAATTTTGAGATGCTTGTGACCATTCTCTTCTTATCCCGTGTCCGTACCTGTGATATCTGAGCTCTGTGCTTCTTACCATCATATGTTGGTGGGTTTCTCATCCTCCACTCTTCTCATCAAGAAAAGGGTATGCATGTTTTGGTAGGTTGTTTGGTAGGTGTGACTTAGTTCAAGGACTTCACAAAAGTAGGGAGCCATGAAATAATTCCATAGTATTCTATAATTTCAGTCCTATCATCCATTTTTCAGGAATCAGGTTGCCGCAGTTCCAATGCTGAGCACTGAATTTTTGAAGTTATAATCACTTGCAGTAAACATTCGTCATTACCGGAGTTACGTTACCCAAGCTTTACATGCAAAGAAGGTGTTCTTCAGGAGTCAGAGCTGCCACTGCCTAAAAGAAAAGGAAACTGATGACTTGGCTGTCTGTAAAGGTACTCCATGGGTCATATATACCCAGTGCCAAGTCAACAATTCTTTCTGTTCTGGTCAAAATTTTATCTACATGGTCTGTAGGAAGTTTATTTTTTTGAGATGGCATCTGGAATGCAATAGAGACATTAAGATCTAAGAGAAATATAGTGGCAATATATGAATTTATTACAGACCTTTAAATGGTTTTCTAGCTCCTGTTAAGTGCTTTATGTTTCAGCTGTCAAAAATAATCAGAAATTCCTTAATGAACCTTTCAAAAACAATTTGAGAAAAAATGAACAAATAGCAGGCACATTAAAAGAGGTAGTATTCATCAGAAACTGGTGATGTCTTTATAATGCTTTCAGTTTTCTCAATGTTTCCTTTCACGTCATAACTTTATAACAAAGAATTCTTCCATTACTGTGGTCATTTCTATTGAGTTTTATATTCTTTGCAAAGTCATTATCTGCTTCACAAAGAGGTAGGAGTCATTAGTCAACAGCTGACTAAATGTTAAAGTATGCTTGTACTTCAAAGAAAATGCAACTGAAGTTACCTTCAGGAGAATAAATTCCCTGAGTTCCTGCACTTTATAAATGAGGCATTATTGTTTTTATTGCTAAAGCGTAGCCTTGGAACATTACAAACCCCTGTTGTAAAATTTTCTAAAACAGCATGCACACGCACACACACACACACATATTGGCTAAATATTGCAGTGCTTCGAGCTGTTTAAAATAATGAAGGTCTAGCAGTTCCTGACCTAGAAAGCTGTCATCTAGCTTTTTATTTAGTATTCTTCTAAAAATGTACCTGCTCAGATGGCATGTTTTCAAAAGAAATTGAAGCATCTTGGTGTATTACACTGAAACATCCAATTTATGTTTTATCCCCTATCAGGTTAAACTGACAGAACTGAAAATATCACCAGAGGGCTGATGCTAATGAGTTGGTATACCTATTTTTTTTTGTGGGTTTTTTAAATGTACTCTGTAAAGGATAATATGCCCACAAGCTTGAGTTTAAGCAATCTCAAATATCCTTTCTATGGTTTTATATTTGCACCAAGATAAGAGACATACAACTTCAAAATCTGGACTAGACCCAGACTTGTAAAGAGCAAGGATTCCTTTGCATCTTCATTCTCCTAGAGAATTCAACCTGTGTTTTGGATATTTTGTCTTTTATACATTGTGATCTTAGCCACAAACACTTAGCCTCTCTGGTAAAACATTTCATATTTTCTGCAGGGCAGGAGCCCTTGGGAACTTAAAAGCTTTGTTATCCTCAGGCTCTCAATAAGGACAAGCACAAATCACTAGAAAATCCAAGATGCATAAACCACACTGTGCTTAAGGAGGATGAGTTTCTACCTCTTTCACTCCTCTTATTCTCAGATGTATTCTGTAATTTGTTTTCATTTATCCTGTTCACTTTCCTGCTTCCAATGGTTTGTTCCAGAATTCCCTTATCCTATTCAGAGAAA